TTCAACTCCCAGAATTCCCCAGCCGGCTGGGGAATTCTGGGAGTTGAAGTCCAAACATCTTAAAGTTGACAAGGTTGAGAAACACTGGCTTAGTGTGTTATATGAACACCACCTCTGTGCTGCTCTTAAGCTGCCTCCTTATTAACTGAGAAGCTTGACATGTCTGGTTCAGTGGTATTTATACCTTCATTGGGCAGGAGAGGAATGGGGTGAAAATCTCTCGTGTTAAAAATAAAACCTTCCTTGACTAGAAAAAGACTTTTTCTCTCTGCCCCAAATCAACTCACCTGCTTCCTTTTGGCTTGCTCTTACAGTAGCCAACCCACTGCATCAAGGTGGTGGCAACTATAGCCAGTGTTGCTGCAGGAACAGCAATCACCAAAATCAAATCCAGAGTGCTCCAAAGGTAGTCAAATTTGGGCCCCATGTACCAATAATCTTCCCATTTGTTTCGGTAAGAAGGACACCTAGAGGTAGAAATGGAGGAGACCAAAATTAAAAGCTTTGACCCACTTTCCCTGCAAAGCGTAGCCTACCTCTTTATCATGAATACATGTGCTGGTCCACCCAACAAGTCTGGGGTTGGGTGTTAGAATCAAGGGCTTCCTTGTGGTTCTAGAGTAACATCTGCAAATTATCAGCCTCAAACATGCAGTCCTGGTTTGCTTATCAACAAGGGTTCAGCAAAGGGCAAAAGGATGATTCAGGAGCTTGAGGACATGCCCTACAAGGACAGGCTGAAGGAATTTTGGATGTCAGATGAAGAAAAGGAGACTTAGGGGAGAGATGATAGCCATGTTCAGGTACATAAAGAGAAGGTGTAGGGACGATAGTCAAGAACTATTATTTTGGAAGCTAAACAGGGTCAGTCCTGGTTAAGACTGGGATGAGAACCACTTGGGAACTCAAAGGCTGCTGATAAGACAGGGAACTGAAGAAAAAATAGAAGGCAATAACAAACTATTACAGCAGTACTGCCAAAACCCACCCCAGGTATAGTTTCTGAATTGCTGCTATATTTACCTTTGAAAATACTTCCAGAGTAATATACAGTATATAAGGTGGTAGCTAATGTGTTTCTATGTTCATCCTGTTTCTCTTAGTCCCACTATTACCTGAAAACCTCAAGTTCCATGCTACAGAAACTAGGACCAGGAATAACAGATAAAAATTGTAGATACCTAGGTTTTGTTTAAACAGAAGGAAAAACTTCATGATGGTAGTAAGATCTATGCAACAGTGGAACCCACTGAACCTACTCATCATGGAGGTTGTGTGTTCTCCATCTCTGGAGGCTTTTAAGAAGAGACTGGACTTTGCAAACATAGCCCTCCTTCCCAATCCTCAGAACAAGGAAGTAACTTACTTGCAGTAGGGGATTTGACTTTTACAACCACAGGCAATTCCTTTAGGGCAAAAGCCGACTGTATCACCTACACAGTTACCAAAGTCTGCAACGTGGCTGCAATCAGCTGGAAAAAAAGCAAGTTTCAACTATTATGCCACATTAGTCATCACTGGATTTCCACAGGCCAGATTTCATTGGCATATGCGGATCTCTGGCTGGGTTTGTGCATTGTGTTAACCATCATATAGTTTGGTTGCTTTTGATGTGGTACAGTTTGTCATCTCAGCCATTTTCCTTCATAAGCCATGGGTATGGCTTAGCAGGGTATGAGAGCAGAGCTACGTATGGCTTGTTCAACCGTACAGCAAGCCATGCTTAGCAGAATTAAAGAAAACTCTGTTTCTGTTATAACAAAGGTTGGATTAGATCAGTGATAGTGAACCAATGACATGCGTGTCAAAGGTGACATGCCACAACATGTTGGGTGACACGCCAGCGTTCATCAACACCCGAGAACAACTATTCTCCCTGTTTGAGTTACCAAAGAAACTGAGTTTGTTTTACTTGTATTTCATTTTTGTTAAGCAGTTTCCAAATTTTTGACATGCCGAGCCAAAAAGGTTCACCATCACTGGATTAGATGGACTTTTTGGTATCAGAACAGCCAAATAGGGCTTACTCAACAAGCTACGGTTAAAGCAAACCATGACTTACTGTAACATGTGTGTCCAGTCACTTTCTATTATCATATAAAAAAAAAAGTTGCTTGTTTTCTATTTTATCCTTTTCCCTTCTTCCCACCCACAAATTACTTTTTCCTTTTTGGGAAAGGAAGGGTTGGATTGCACTTTGTATGAGTAACAGCTGACCATGAGACTTGTTAAAGGCACTCATTTAATTTTAAATTCTACTCTCTCTCCAAAATAATAATAATAATAATAATAATAATAATAATAATAATAATAATAATTCACTTTTATGACTATGATTCTGCCCTGGATTGCCAGCGGATAAAAATGATTTCTCAAGAATTATTTCTTTCTGGAAACGTCTAACTCGGAATTCTAGCAGTTCTTATTGCCTTTCGCTACAGTCCCATGGTTGTAGGACCATGAAATGTTTTTGATCCCTCTCAGCAGAAAGACAGAACTTGGCTTCCAGAGGGGAAGAGCTCAACTTGAAATTTTTCTTGAGTCGGTGAAGAAATGTCTAATTCCACTCCCCCACCTTTCCCAGCAATAGCTGAACTTTCAGTCTGACCTGGAGGGTCCACAATCCTGATTTTGATCCAATCCCCCACATCTGAATGAGAACAAAGTACAGTAGTGGACAATTTGCCTCTTGCGTGACACAGTGCTTCATCTTTGGAAGCTGTCTCAACACTACATGCTGGCTATGAAATTAATCCCCTTTTAGGCTCACCCAGTCCACTGAACCATACAGTACTGGACTAGATTTGCACAATAGGCTAAGCTCCAAAGAAACTAACCAAGCCAGTCTTTAACTGAACTAGATAGATATATTGTGCAAGGACATCCCTTGCAGTCTGTGGTCTTTGTTTCCAACAAATCCATATATGATTGCAGATTTAAATCCTAATCCTATTGCATCCACCTCTTTAAAAAAGTCAAGTTCCGAAGGATCCCCCTTGATTCTGACGGGTTTTCTTACGATTTGTAGCTTGTGCAGTCGGCCAAGTGATGGTTAGCAGCAGGAGCAGGTGAAGACTGGATGCAAACATCATGGCGTTCCTTTGGAACGAGAGGTGTGATCCCCTTCCAGCTTTCTGACGTTCTCATACCAGCCCGAGCAATTTTGATTTATGCTAGACTAAAGGTCGTGGGTTTTGAACTGGTTTTACAGCATCATTTCTGGTTTTTAATTAACTTTCCTAAAGATGTGCCTTCTTGGCTTGGTTCCAAGACTATTTTTATATGCATGCAATTAGATGCATAAATCAATAACTAGAAGCAGGACCATGGTGTTTTCAATTATACTGGCAGTGGTGATGCCCTTACAGGTATTTATAATTTAAAGGGCATGTTAAGGACAGAGATCAGTGGATTCCCTTGGCTTTGGGGGTTCCCCCCCTTTTCTGTGAAACATCCCCAACCAGCAGGAAACAACCACTATTTACATTCCTTAATGCGGCTTGGGGCTGGGAGCAAGGCACGTTTTGACAGATGTTTAGACCAGCAAGTCTGCTTTCTGTGAAAACCCACTTTGAATTTCGCACAAATATTTTGCACGGGTGTGTTCAAAGGGAGCCTGACATTGAGCTGATGTCACCTGTGAATCAAGCTCCTTTTAGACTTGGGTTAAGCCTTTTTCTGGAATTCCTTTCTGTTTTTCTCTTTGGAGCCGTGACAGACAAGGAGTGCTATCTGGGTTGGGTGCTGAGAGAGAGCTCTACTCCTTCACCTGGCATGAAGTGGTCCCAAAGCAGGTTGCCAGACCACATTTTGATGTGACGGGATAGCTGGAAATACCATTGAACAGGGTGAGTCAAATTATGCCCAGAAGGGTCCCCTCTATACGGAAGACAAAATCCCAAACTGAAATTATAAGCTAGGCCACCATGCTGAAGGATTTAACAAATGTGGCATTCACACACTAAACATTCTTAAAATAAAGGAAAGAAAATCGCCTTCATTGTTTCTCCTGACCGATGTACTTTAGTTTGAGGAAATGAATTTATATAGTCTGGATGGAGCTATTCAGTCATTTAGATAAGGATCTTTTAAAAATGGGTATGTCAGCAGAGGTTTATTGAACTTAAGTCCTATTAATATGATTATTCAGAACTCTTCTTCCTTATTTGCGAGTGCAATGTTCTGAAGAATCCATTTCTCTTATTAAAAACAGAGTTGCATTGCATTGGCAAGGATTTTTTTAAAAGCTACCCTATTAGACAAGTTCAAGGCATCTTCCATCTCTCTGTGGCATTCAATTCCCCTTTAAATGACAGGAGCCTCCCGGCCCTATGCCAAGTCACAGAATGCTCCTGTTTCCGGGGGCTCCACCCATGGAGGGGTCAAAAAAGTCAAGATGGTGGTCACAAAGCCCCACCCCCTTTGACATGCATCATAAAAGGGGTGGGGCTTCACTCATACAATTGTGGCTGTCCTCTTGACCTTTTTTGACCCTCCCTGCGAACCCTTCTGCCTATTCAAAAACTATGCCACCTGGCTTGCTTATGTAGACCTAATAATGCAACAGTGGGAAACGAGGGCTGGAAGATACATTGAATAAAAACAACAGTTCAGTTGTTATGCTATATTGTTTGGTTTTCAGAAGCCTAACTATCTTTTGGTACAACGTCTAAACTTGGCAATGACTGTGACGAATCGATGGAAATGTTGGCAGGGAGTGAGTTTGAAAACCACGGTTTGTGATGCACGGGGTTTGAGAGAATCTTTGAACGGACTAAGAGGATTTACAGATTTTACCCAGTCTCTCGAGCCCCCTGTATCTAAAACCTAGAGTATTAAGTCAAAGGAGTCGAGGAAGGAGACTTCTGTAGGCAAAGTTGCTGCAACCCGGTGTGCAAATTGTGCACCGTGTTGGGGGGGGGCACTAGGTACACGGTAAAAGAAGTCTTCGATGGCATGTGAGTGAGTATGCACATGGCTGGAATATTTAAAAAAAAAAAAGGTTTTCGGAGAATTTGTGGAATTCTGCCCAAGGGCACCTTGTACTCCATCAGCACCCTGTAGGACTCAAAATATAAACCACTGGTTTGTTTCAAGCTATTATTAGTGGGAGACATGGCATTGCCATAAGCGTTGCAAACTTATTTCAACCCTCCTGCATTGTATAAATCACTAAACCATAACTAAACCCAAGCATCAGGAAGATACATCAGTATTTTATTTTTTTTCTATAAGATAAGTGGTCATTTTAGGTAGGATTACTGTCTTAGATCATAAAGAGCTGTTCTCCCGGATCTCTGTTGCTCATGAATTTCAGGCGAATGGCATTATATCAGTAAGAATCTACAGCTTGAATCTAGCACAATCAGCCAACATAAAATAGAAGATACAACTCACACACATTGTAAATCAGTAGTCACTATTACATTTACTATCACTATCACTTTTATTTTTGGGCCGCCTTGTTCAAATGCCAACATGTCTGTTTTAAAGCTGTCTTTACCTATTTACTCAAAGATCCTCTGCTTGTGCGTCCCTAAATAGACACCAGAGTCTTGGATCACTTCCAAGAGAGTGCGAGACTTTGGTTAGTTCATCACATTAAGCAACTGTGTTATTTTTTGGGCTTCACCTTACTACAGGGTGAGACTTCAGCATATTAAACATACCCAACCAGTTGTATCTTATTCAATAAACTATGGTTATGCAAATCAAGGGTAAGTGCAAGTTGGGCATTCTATTAGTTTCTTTTCTCCAATGCTGAGTGAAGACATATTTGAAGAAAGTGGACTCCCTGAGTATTTTTTCTACCTTCCCTTGGTGGGGACATCTATTTACCTGTGTGGTTCTCAGAAGAAGAGGGGGAAAAACGCTAATAAGTAAATTAATAAATCTTCATTTGCAATTTTGAACACTGAAAAGTAGAATCAGAGTTGGCCTACCTTGAGGTCTTCCCTCCCCCTTTTAGCTTATCTTAATAATTGATTATAGGGAAGAAGATGAGGAGAGGTGGAATATTGTGATGCTGGTCCCATTGTGACTCTTTGCATGATCAGAGCCTGTTGGGTGACCCCTCAAGTGAAGTACAAGCTGAGATGGAAGTTGGCCTGAAACAGAGATCACATCTCCAATCCCCACCTTTGTAAACAGGCAGGAGAAAACAGAAGGTGGGGAAGAGTGGTGGTGAAGGAAGAAGGCCTTTTCTTCTTCTTCTTCTTCTTCTTCTTTTTCTTGCCTTGTCCAACCTTTACTCTTTGAGATGGTGAATGAAGCAGCCCGAGCAGAGACCCAGCAGCGCACAAGCGCCTTTCTGGGAAGCGAACAGCCACCCCGCTGCTTCGAGCTCTCATTATGGCAGGGGTCGGCAAATCCATTAATCGCTTCCGAGTGCGCCCCGCCGAGCCGCCGGACTGCCCCGACATCCCGCGGCTGCTTAAA